GGACGTATTTTGCCGCAAATTCATAGGAATTCGTATGAAGGACCACCCCGAAACCTACCCGTCACAGAAATCGTACAAAAACTTTTGTATTGAATTTGAATGTCACCTCATAAAAATACGTACAAATTGGTCATGAGATAGTGTTGGAGCAACACATCTCCCCCTGTGTCGCAGGAGAAAGTGTATTAACATCACAAAAATGACATCATCTTCAATGACTTTGAAAGACTAAACATCTCTTAAGCTTGAGTCTGTAAGGACCCTGCTGTTATATTTTCAGTGCACCACATTTTTTCCAGTCTTGGGGCTTCTAATCATCCAAAAACATGACAACCCTTTGGCCTCTTAAACGCCTGAATTGCTCTCATTCTTTTCCATTTCTGTCCCTTTCTAAGATCTTTTCCATTTCTGTCCCTTTCTAAGATCTGTGCTGTGTTTACTGAAATGAAAGTATTTTTAGAAAGTGCCTTGTGAATTACAAGGAAGGGCTTGAAAAAGTCTGTTTTTGAGGGGAATAATACAAGAAGATGACAGCCTTGTTCAGTCATGGGACCGGGGAGACAATAACCTTAATGAGAATCCTCCAGCATTTTCACGCTCTCAGCTGAGACTCAGTGGCATCGTAAAGGGATTCTGGAGAGGAACCTGTGTGTTCCTGACTCCTGCCTGATCCAGGTCTGCAGTGACAGATCGGCCTGACAGACGGTAAGCTTGGGGACTCCGGTCGCGACCATGCACGTAAACAAATGCCTCCAATTAATTTCCATCACCGCCAAACTCTCCAGTATTCAATCCCAGGTGGGACGAGCATGACAGCAGTTTGAAACGGGCTGACAACCAGAGAAGAGCAGATAGGGAGTGTAGGATGGATCACCTTCCTCTTACTGTCAGACACCTTCAGCCATATTGCAGATATCCATCCAATGACAAAGCAGTCAATGCATCAGTCAGAACTTAAAAAAATGCTGCAGTGAAAGAGATCAATATAATCTCACACAGCGGATACATTTCAGCTGACCATCTTAAATGTGATTACAAATCGTAGGAAGTGCATTAGCTCAATCTGCAAATATCATAGAGAACACATTTACACAGGAAGTGGAGAGAAATTTACCCATCAGTCATTACCGCGGGAAGTAGGGGTGCTGAGGGTGCTGCAGCATCCCCTGGAGTGTAGCCCACGAAAAAATGTAGGTGCTGGGGGTGCAGTGTTAAAAATAAATGAATGAACAATATGTAATACAAAATAAATAATATTAATTTTATTAATTAGTATATTCATTAAAATTCATTGAAAAAAGTAGCCTAAGCCTACAATGACAAGAAGCAAAATGAACGGATGAATGAATGAATGAATTTTTCAGACTTTTTCAAACTAGTCAAAAATGTTGATTGAATTACTAAAAAAATGAATGAATGAATGAATGAATGAATGATGAAATAAATAATTAAATACCCCCACCCCCAAATAAAACTTGTTGAATTT